TGCACTGCACCCTAGATAAGGGGGACGTGGGTTAGAATCTCAGCGTCACCACTCATCGTAAGAAACATTTTAAAGAACATTACTTAGCCTCTTTGAGCCTCAGTTTCTTAATTTGAAAGAAGCACAAAAGCACCTACTTCACAGAATTCTGCCATTGCTGTGAAGGTTTGTGTATATCCTCGGCCGGCATCGTATCCATGCCCGGCAGCTTCCTCTCTCCCTTTCCCTCCCCCTATTCAAAGCTTTAGCTTTTTATCCTGGTTTGATGACTCCACAGTATACCCAGGTCCCAACCTTAGGTGTCTGCATCTACCTCCAGATGCTGGGCACATGAAGGTGCTCGATAAACATCTGCTTTTCTTTCCATACTGACATGCCAGTGAGAATCCTTTTTGGATCTTTCATCATTCTTAATAACCTGAACAGCAGGATCTTGTGATCTATTTTACTTAGGGGTCTGTCCACAGTCTTTCCCAGCTGGATAAAGAGCCGAGCCCTAGGCTCTGGAGAATTACAAAGAAGGGATAAAACACTATTTCTATCTTTAAGAAGCTTATAAACAAATGGAAGAAATAAGTCACATGGCAGAAATCTATCACTACAGACAGCAGAAGGCAAGGGTACCTAGACACAAAAGCTAAGTCTATGGTAAGAATGATGAGATGAATAGGGTGAAAAGGTGAGTGGGGGAAGGTGGTTTCTGGATCCATACGCGCTGCCATTGGCTGAATTTTGTACTACACTTAGATTTCTTGAATAGTCTCAGGATTACTGTTGATACCATGCTTTTCAGAACATTTCTTTTCAAATACAACCCAAGACGTTATCATTTATATCTCTATATATACCTATATCTATCCATCCATCCATCCATCCATCGATCTATCATCTATCTATCCATCTTGTTCTACATGAAATGATTTATAATAATACTATTGTGTCTGGAGTTACTTAAGTACCTAAGGAGCATGCTTAAGCCTATTTGGTTTCAATCGCAATAAAAGTTTATAGACCACTCACAGAGAGTTTGGTTTGAGCCTCAGAGTCATCCTGGTACAGGATCCCCAAGGAAATGATTCCACCTTTTCCCCACTAGATTCTCCACTGTGCTGCTAGACTACTCTTTCCAAAAATTCATGCCTCTCCATTACTCAAAACTTTTAATGGACAAAGTTCAAATATCTTAAGATAGAATTTAACATCATTTATACTGTGATCAACTTGTATTTCTACCTTTTCTTATAGGTCTTCACTGCTCTCCTAACACTCCCACCACACTGGGCTGTTTCCTTGGTCCCAAACATGCCATACATCAAGTATGTCAGGCTCCGGTTACACCATATATCTTTACTTTTTTATTTCATTTTTATTTCATTTTTATTTCAATACTGGCATGTGTTCGAGAATCTTTGCAGCTCTTGGAGTAGGTTTCCTTCCCCACTTCCATCCTAATTCACATGCTACCTCTTATATAACATTTTCCTCAAACTCCGCCCTGCTTTCATTATACAGCCAACTCAGTACATATCACATTATTACATTGTGTTACAGCTATGTGTCTACTTAGCCTTAGAAGCAAGGACCTTAAAAGCAAGGAGCACAGTTCTATTTTCAACGTTCCAGCTCGAAAAGTAGTGGCCCATACACTAATAGAACTGAAGCAGAGTGACGGTTCTAACAGTAAACTGCAGCTTTCTGAGGAAAACACCTCAGGAGATCTGGAAAATCAAGTATTACCAGTAATCCTTGAATATCGGGCTTCTCCAAGGGAACTGATTGCAAATAACCTTTCCAAATAGATATTTAGAGAACCGTCATATCCAAATTACTCTCATCAAATTTTCAAGTGCTTGTAAATCTCATTTCATTTCAATGAATGAATATACAAGATACTTATTAGAACATTTGGGTTGCAATCTTGACATAATCGTAAAATAGTCAAATGACCAGGAGTGAACTAAGCTAAAGCTAAAGTTAACAAGGAATAGAGGTAGAGTAGTGCAGTTAGAAAAAAAAAAGAGAGAGAAAGGAAGAAAGGAAGAAAGGAAGAAAGGAAGAAAGGAAGAAAGGAAGAAAGGAAGAAAGAAAGAAAGAAAGAAAGAAAGAAAGAAAGAAAGAAAGAAAGAAAGAAAGAAAGAAAGAAAGAAAGAAAGAAAGAAAGAGAAAGAAAGAAGGAAGGAAGGAAGGAAGGAAGGAAGGAAGGAAGGAAGGAAGGAAGGAAGGAAGAAAAAGAAAGAAAGAAGAAAGAAAGAAAGAAAGAATGAGCCACACTTTTAAGAGCCAAGAAAAATCCTAAAAGATCTAGGGATAGTGCTGAAATACAAGTGGCTTGTGAATTGTCAGTGGAGGGTTTCTATTAAGCTGTGGATTTAAAATATACGAAGAAGATATTCAGATTAAATTTAGGAAAAAACTTCCCAATATCAAAGGCTGTTAAATGGTAGGAATTATAAAGTAAACTCAAGAGTCAAAAGAAAAATACTAACCTGTACATTAGAGTTCTGAATGTAATTACCCCCACAACATACTGCCAGATGGCTACAAAAGAATAATGGTCCCGTGTGACCCATAGTAACAAAAAAAGGAGGGGAGAAATTTTAGGAAATGCTTTTCCCATGGTGGGTGGGGGGTGGGGTGGGGCTGAAAACAGAAGTCTAAGGAGTTCCACTTATGGGAAATCCTACTAATGACCTTGGAAGATTTTACTAGTCTTGGGGGCAATGCCATTTGCACCCAAGTCACTGCTTTCTGGAAAAATGAAGAGATATATCCTACTATAGTTTCCATAATATTCTTTTCATAAAGTTCAAATTGTCTGAATACTCTTGAAATGTCTACAATACCAAATTTTCTTAGCAGGGGTGTTTAAATTCAAATATTATGTTCAGTCAAAATGTTCTACATTGATTTACTGATTAACACTAAGGAGAAAAAAGACAAGACACTTTGCATCACAATTTAAAATGTGCAAGGAAATTAATTAGGATAAATATTTATTTCCACATAACATTTCTTAGTTGTGAAAAACACAATATCCTAGTCACATTTACACATTACTTGAACTTTGCAATAAATTACATTCAAGATATTCAGTAATTTTGACCAGGAATCTGAAATTAGGAGGAAATATATAACACTACATTTTTTCTTATATTTTATATGATTGCAAAATATCAGGATTAACATAGAGATAGCATTAAAATTCACACAAGAACAAAATGACTATAAAAATACTCAGAAATACAGAATTTCATTGGGTATGATTGCTTATTCAAATAAGTGATCATGTGAAGGTTTTAACTCACTATGATCATTTGTAACAGAACAGTTATTAATAATTAAAATACTAGGAGGCTGCTTTTGGGACTGACTGGCATGTACAGCTAGTCTAAATCATACACAATGGGAATGTTTACAATATGGTATCTGTATTATAAAACACACAAAGGCGACACACTTGGAATGGAAAGTTTCTGTATTTTCCTTGGCATTTATAAACACAGACTGTATTAACTGCAAATTATGCTTATAGTTTTTAGGTTTACATTCTATAAAAGAAATGGCTCCTTAAAAGATTGTGAGGGGAGTTTTCAGAAATATCAAAATGTTGAGTCTTATGGAGGCTTTGTTGGGTTTTTTTATTTCCCTCATAAGCTTGATCACAAGAGGATTTTTTTTCACCTTTCATGTGCACTTATACAGAAAATATGTAATTAATAGTTTGGAAAAGCCACGGGGCTCTGAATTATCATAAAATTGGACAGTGCAGATCATAAGATTGATGATCACTGGTCATTCCTAGGAAATAAGAGCACTACAAGATTCCATCTTTATTAACTTCACACTATCTAAAATGAAATGAAATACTGTATTTTTAGTAATGCTCAACAATTTTTAACTTTCCTTCCTCTTGTGCAAGCTTAGTAAAAATGGATTCTTTCATGTGGACTGAAATGCCTACAGAATCTTCTCGAACAGAATCTGAAATATTCATTGAAAAGACTATTTTTCTACAACATGCATTCAATTAAAAAGTGGAAAAGAGCTTTGCAGAAGAGAAAAATATAGTTGGAGACCTGTCAGCCTAACAGTAGAACATGATTCAGAAGCAGCATTAAGCAGTACGCGACCGTTAGCAGCAGAATGAATAACTATACAGGAGTGAAATTTCATGTACAAGGACTCACCATGTGGCCTTCCACGGGTGTGTGTAGAATAGGTTTATTTGGAAAACATTTGTTTTTAACGGGAGAGAAATTTAATGGCATATTTCTGATAAAGGTTTATATTGAAAATCTCACAAAACTTACAAAGTTTTCCTGAAGCATTTCCTACAAGCCTAGTGTTTGATGGTGTAATCACAACTTGAATTGTTAAGCAAACACTACTTGACTCTGCATTAGTTTCTGATTCTTCTAAACAAGTTGTGAACGGGTTTCTATATATTTTTTCCAAATGACTTTAAGTTTTAGTTACATATAAACTCTTAAGTATTAAATGTATCATAATAAATCAAGGAAATGCATAAATACAATTATTAAAAAATGCTTCCAAACTAACTTTTCGATTTGGGTCTTTTGAAATAAGTCACTAATGCTAAGCTATAAAAAATAAAAAGTAAGACTACCTTTCAAAATTCTTCTGAATGAAATTATCAGGTAGCTTCAGGTCACTAAAGTAGGAAAATACAAACTAGGTAAATGTGACATCTCTTTAAGAAAGCTATTGCTCTCATAAAACTAACCATGAGAATCCAGTGTTTACAAATGTCTAACATACAGAAAGGAACACAGATTCTTGCATTAGCTATTGTATATGCTCACAAGGGTGTCACACTGTTCAGAAGTTTAAACACAGAAATGAAACAAGTATTGCACTACTTACAGTATGAAGGTGGATTTGGGATGAGAGACAGAATTTACAATACATGATCAAAGCAGTTTTATTAATAATTGTGGCACTCTTCTCATATATATGTAAAAAATAAATCGAAGATCAAGTCATAGACAAGTCTCCCTGTCAACACCTTTCCCTGAGTCAGCTTTCTTCTCTTTTCGGCTTTCAGTGCTACGGTGGGGGGGAAAAAGGAGAAATTTATTACTGCAATCCCGCACGGCTACTGTGAGATCTGCTTGCTCAGACACAAAACCCATCAGCCCCAAAGCACCACATGGGCCCTTAGCATGGCTCTTTCATGCTGCGAAGCATAGATAGATAGCAACAATTAAAATCCTCTGCCCTCAGTGAGGTAGAAACAAAACACTGCAGAAAGGGGGACATTCGAAAAATAAGAACTAAAAAACAAAAACCAGACATTTTAAAACAGTTCCAAAAGCATGCAAGATTGATACCATCGTCCTCATTTGGCCAAAGGAATTACTGATGGTTGCTGAAAATGCCAGTGCTGCCCCCATCTTAAGAAAGCACTGACCCCGATAACACTACGAGATGCCACGGGAGGTATCTCAGGGCTCGCTGCGAGTCGCTTGTCCTTTGTGCACACACTGGGTCCTGATCTTTGGTGAGCACCGTGTTGTGGTCAGCAGGACAGAGACATCTCCGCTGGTCTAGGGGATGTGCTCAGCCCCACACACCGCCCTCCAAACACCTGTGCAGACCAGCCCTTGTCCTGGCGCTCACCTCATTCCTTCCAGAACCAACTCATTCCCAAGTGATTTCTGTCTTGTCTGTTCTCCAGTGAACCTTATGGGCTGGGCAAGCTGGTAATAAGATTCTACAATTTTTGTCTATGCTTTTTTCCGATACTTGTCCAATGAACACTTTTCCTACTCTCGTGTTGACAGTTTTCGTGGAAAATTTGAATAATGTGCTCACAAGCGGAAAGTTCCCAGCAAGAATAAATACGTGCTTCCAGAGGGGCAGAAGCGCTCACTCCCCAGTGACTCCCAGCATGGGGCAGAGCCCCCACACCTGCGGCCCCCCTGCGGCCCTCCCTGTCACCTGGGGCCCTAAGTCGGAAGAGCCCACCCGTTTTTACTGGTAACTTTGTCCCTTAATATAAATCTATGAACTAGTTGGTGGTGGGGAAACCCTCAGTTTTATAACTCTTCTCAAAGTAATAAAGTGACAGTTAAAACCTTCTTCTTCTTCTTCTTCTTCTTCTTCTTCTTCTTCTTCTTCTTCTTCTTCTTCTT